TGAATAATGAATGAGAATGATGTATTTATAAAGGTGGGTAGTGTAGTTCAAGTAGGGCTCATTTTCTTGTTTTTAGGAGTGATTATAGGGATAAGTGTTGGAATGTATATAGGAGTCCCAAACCTTCCTTATCTGAAGTGTTACCCAAGATAGGACTCCTTTATGACTTAGGATTCTTAAGTAGGGGTGATGGGGTAGAGCTAGGATCATTTCTGTACCAGGACTACTGTCTCTTGAATGAGGAGTACTTTGGGGATTTGACCAAGTAAATATCCCGACCATTATTATCTTGAGGAGTGCTAACGTGATTTCAAGGGTAATCTGGGTGGTCCATCCTCGAGATGTCTCGAGGAAGTCATTTTCTTGTTTTTAGGAATGATTATAGGGATAAGTGTTGGAATGTATATAAGAGTCCCAAACCTTCCTTATCTGAAGTGTTACCCAAGATAGGACTCCTTTATGACTTAGGATTCTTAAGTAGGTGTGATGGGGTAAAGCTAGGATCATTTCTGTACCAGGACTACTGTCTCTTGAATGAGGAGTACTTTGGGGATTTGACCAAGTAAATATCCCAACCATTATTATCTTGAGGAGTGCTAACGTGATTTCAAGGGTAATCTGGGTGGTCCATCCTCGAGATGTCTCGAGGAAGTCACATATCCCGAGGAGTGAAGTGCCGTAACTAAGAAAGAGGATCCTTTGAGGTCCTCATGCTCAGGGTAGGACATTTATGACCACATCACTAACAAATTCTATTCCCAATTGTAAAAAAAATTTCCCCTTTAATTGACAATTTCTGAAAAAACAAGTTCTAAGCAATTATTTTTCCTAAAATTCGTTTTCTTTCCACCAATTTTCCATTGCAATCAAACAGACCCTTAAAATTTGAATTTTAATCAGTACCGAGGAGGGGCTAAATTCATTTTTCAATTAAGAAACCTGATATTTTATACAACGTAACTCTAAAAAAAATTCAACAACTTCGACAATTTGACTAAAATCAAGATTTTATTAAGTTCTCAAAAATTCCGCACGTAGTTTTTGAAAGTAGTTGCAAATATCATTTGTTTGAAAATAGAAGTGCCGAGAATTGCCACGTAATCATCCCTTATAAAAGATGAATCAAATCTCCTTCAACACTCACATAAAGGAAACGAATAAAATAAAGGAGTCAAATACAAAACTGAGAAAGAGAGGTACCGATTATGCAAATTTCCGGCTTGTTTCCCGACTTATCGGTGGTTCTTTCGTCGGCCGGTGACTATAGGTCACGGGAATTCAAGCATTTCCACTCACCCTCCGACCCCAAGCGCCTTAATAGGATCCCCAGAGTAAGCATTTTCATCTATACGTATGTGTATTCTGGAAAGTTTCAGAATGTTTTTTTGAGTCAACTGTTTTAAGTTGTGTGTAATAGTGGAAATTAGATAGAATAGTTTCTGGTGTTCTACTTATACGGTATTGAGTAAATGACAGAGGAAGCTGTTTGCATCATGTATGGAATTCGAATAGTTTAATTGAACTGAGTAAGAAGAGATTAGTTCAAGTTTAAATTTGAGTTTTCCTTGTCATAATTAAAATTCCAAAAGAGTTTATTGTTTATACAAATAATGCAATTGATGGGGAAAAAGTTTTGATTTTTTGTTTTGATATTTAATTTTTTTTGTTTGAGGGTGAGGTGTCCTCCTATCCCTTTAAAACTTTTCATCTGTCAAAACTGTTCAAGAATGGATTGTGGCCTGATAAATTTAATTTTGAAGTATCAAGGGCAAACGCCGTTGTTTATGAGTAGGCATGGCACGGAAAATTTTGGGAAGTTGATAGAAAAGGGTACCAAATATGCATTGCCTATTGCAGTTGAAGATGTAGAAACATTGATGTCCAACTCTGATGTTACCAGTGACAAAAGGAACACTAGCATAAATAAAAGTGAGTGTCTGCAAAACAAATGGATAGGAATAACGGTGTTCTCCAAATCCTCATAAGATTCAATTTTGATGCCACCTCTTAGGTAGCAAGGGGGAAACTCTTGAATAATAAGCACCTCTTCATTGTCATTAGCGGATTAGCTACCTCAATATTTCATTTCATTACCCCTCGAGTAGAGATTGTAATCTTGCAGAAGTCTATGCACTCTGGCAAGTGCTATGCGTATAATGCAACTATTTAGCTATCCACTGTGGCACAGATTTTTTTGCTACCAACCTATATAAGCTTACAACTTTCACATATACCATATTAGTTGAAACTTGAACATAAAACTGACTTATTTTCATTTTTGTTTTCTTAGCCACCTGTTATAGTACTTTCAATGTTTGGCCATTAGATGAATATGTAACCATTAATTCACTTGATATTGGAGTAGGTGGAAGGTCTTGAGTTCAGTCACTTCATTTCTGTTCCATTAAAAAAGTAATTAACTTGTATAACAGTGAACATGTGGAACATGCCAGTAGCTAAACTATGTCCTTTGGAAACAACTAGAACTTTTAGACAATCATTAAGAAAAAACTTTTCTGGACAGGTCACATGGATTGCCATGCCCTGCTGCTGAATGTAGAAATGATTTAAGCCGCAAATACCAGAGTGCTTGAGATTTTCAACCTTTCTTTAAGATTTTCAATGACATGCCATTATTTTGGCTATTTTATTTCATTGAACTCTTCGTCATTTTCTGCTCTGAAGTTAGACAAAGCTTGTATGATTTTTTGAGACAAGCTTTTCTTCTGCACTAAATTTCTCAAACAGATAAAAGCATAACAAAATCAAAATGTGTCAGATAATATCAGACCTAATTGATAAATCTTTGACATAAATTTTTATATCACTTATTGTTTTATTCATCTTCTTAAATATTTGAGTTTCTAATAATGCTCAGTTTTATCCAGTTACACTGAAACTTTATTCCATAGGCCACACATGGAGCAGATAAATATAAAAAACTATTTGCATGTTTTTGAATGTTGGGGAATGGGTTGATAGGAGCATGCCCTGTTCTATTCCTCACTCAACTATTGTTCAGGATAAATGCCAAAAGAATGTTAGTTTACTCTCCAGTTGATCTATTGATGTTATTCATATAGTCATTAAAGATTATGGGCATTGCCCACCTTATGAATTGTAGTGGCTTGGTATTGACTTATGAGCTTTATACTTTGGTTTGTGCCATAAACAAAATACTGGTGTTATGTGTATCTTCGGCCTAAAACCTCTATGGATTTCTTTCCTAACAGTTTATTTTACTTTCTAGAGCTGTCAATTTTGTGCTCCCAAGCTAGGTGTTGGGTCAGATAAGTTAAGGAGGAGAAGCTTTACTGTAAGAGCATCTGGGAATTCTGGGGGTGATTTAGTTCCAATAGCTCCTCTTCAGTTGGAATCCCCAGTTGGGCAGCTTTTGGCCCAAATATTGCAAACTCATCCACATCTGCTCCCAACAACAATTGACCAGCAGCTTGAGACCCTCCAGAGTGAAAGAGATGCCCAAAGAGAGAAAACACCTCCTGGATCTCAAGATCTTCTCCTCTATAAGTAAGTAGTAATTCTATATGCTGTTATTTGTTAGATGTGTGAGTCAGGTTCATATATTTGAATGGTTTGGACTTGTGACATATCTGCACAGTTGATTTTTAAAAGCCTTTCTTGTATGATCAAACTGGGTTCAAATTTGAATTCAAAGCTAAATTCTGGTGAGGTTAGCTATTCTAGTCCCTCATAAAAGGTTGAGACATTTTTATAATTAACATAGGCTTGGTCGAACATCATTGATTGCTACAATGGTTTAATTGAATTTAATCTAATTTTGTACAATGAGTTGGAGTGGGGGTTGAATTTGATCACAATCAATTTATCCAACTTAATTCCCTCTTTGTTCAGACACAATATAAGAGGGAAAAAGTTTCATCTTTTTTTAGAATCTCATTCAGTTTAGAATGATAAATAGTTATTTACTTGGTGGAAGCATAGAATAACTTGGACATAATTAGGATATTTCAACTAAGACTAATTTGATTGGTGGAGGTTGCACACAATATTTCAGTTATGCAGTAACAATAGTATGAAACAGAATGGGAGAAAACTCAAGAAGGCCTGTCTTACAGTGATATGTTATAACCAATGAACCTGGTTTCACTGTCCAAGATGATGTTCTTTGATATTGCATATACACTACTTGGCCTTCTTCACGAGGCAGTGATGACAAAACCACCCTACTTTTTTATTTGTTTATTGTAATTAGAGTAATATCTGTAATGAATGACATTAAAAATCAAAGTTCCATGATGTGTAAATTATTAGAATAAAAAATTTTGCCCAGTGAGCTAAGGAATATGGTCTCGTTGAAGAAAAGATTTACATGATAAACATGTATGATATACATGTGACCTTCTCTAACAGTTTATGCTTTTAGATCAATTCACTAGGTTCAAGTCTTATTCGCCCTCCAATTTATTAAAAACTTATACATGTGTAAGGCTTTAATGGGAAAAACGAATCATGCCTACACTTGGGGCACGTTGAAGATAAGATTTAAATGATACATGTGGCCTTCTCTTAACACCTCAAGTTTTTGGATCCATTGATTCAACAGTTCTTGCTAGCTTCGGAAGAAGGATTTTTTGAGACGAAAAATAAAATAAAATTAGACAGAGAAAGCCTTACAACAGTATTAGACTATAAATGCTGGCAGAATGGACACTACAGTCCGAAAAGACTCCATAGATGAACGGACAAGGTTCTTTTAGTTTCTTGTTCATTGTTACATTACCCACTGTTGTGCTACTCCACTCAGTCTATAATTGCTGGCAGAATATACTTTAGGGTCCTTAAAAACTCTGTAGATGGGCACACATAATCCATTATATCTGATAGTAAAGCAAGGAGAGGATATGTGGATTTAGTTTTTCCTTTTGCATCTTTAATGTTGAATTATCGTAAACAGTTTGTATACGTACCAACATTTCATTTTTGGCATAACTATAAATGATTAATCTGCTTTGGTAATCCAATTTTATTTTACGTGTATCTGGGTACAAAAATCAACAAAATGATATATGAAACTTTTAGGTAAAAACAACATAACAAGGTAGTTTTCTGTGTTGTCAATTTGTGTAAATTAAGGTTCAAATTGTATTCTTCGTACTCCTCACTTGTTTCAGATATGTAAGTTTGAGCTTTACCATTTAAAGCATATCTTATTTATAATTCCAGTCTTGATTTGGTGTGTGCAATTGATTGTTAAGACTACTAGTTGGTTTTCAAGACCGTCTATCTTCTTTCTTTTTTAACATTTTTAAACTGGTGAATATCCTATAATTGACTTTGACATATTATGCAATAGGAATCTGATTCTAGACTTCATTTTGCTCTTAAAATTACAGCCCTGACACTTGGGCCCTAAGTCTTAGGGGTTGAACTTTCTTTTAATAGGCTTAGTCTTCAAGTTTGGATTTTCTTATCTTCGGGTTAGAAGAGATGTATTAGGGTTTGTCATTGGTTGTGAGATTTTTCTCTTTCATTTACTTGTTGAGAGTTGAGACCGTCGGAAACAGCAGTGGCAGATGCATCTTGTTGCATGTTCTGGGATTGCATTGTCGTTGTCCTTTGAAGACAGTGTTAAACCGAATGCTTATTAAAATGTAGCATCTTCTATTCCAATTGTACTTTAGTAAAGGAAATAATCTGAACAAAAGATGGAGTGAATTGGACCTGCACAGCCAATATATTTGTCGACTTCTTGCGATGAGGTGCTAACAAAATTTGTCAGATTTTGAGTTAATCTCTGAGGTTGAGAAACTAGAAAGTACGCTTGTATTAGAGACGGCAACACAATAGTGTTGGAACGCAAAGGTGCAAAACCTTTAGGTGCTAATACAATAAATTTTACGGGATCATGAAATTGCATTCTTGAGATGGCTTTTCTTGTCAGAGGTCCTCTCCTCTCAAGAGACCGAATTTTGCTGATTTTCTTGTTGCGTGAAAAGATTTAACGAAATGAAATGAAATGCAAAGAATCAGCCATATTCCATGAGCATGTAGGAGCCTCTAGACAAGTAACACTTGTTGAAAGAACCTGCCAACACTTAATTTTCTTTTTTATTATATTTTCAGGAGGATAGCTGAAGTGAAAGAAAAAGAAAGGCGAAAGATATTGGAGGAGATCATATATTGCTTGATTGTACAAAGATTTGTAGACAATGGCATTTCGATGATCCCAAAGATATCTTCAACATCTGATCCTGCTGGAAGGGTGGATTTTTGGCCACATCAAGAACATAAGCTGGAGTCCGTGCACTCTCCCGAGGCATTTGAGATGATTCTTAGCCACCTGTCTCTTGTCCTCGGTGAGCGTACGGTGGGACCCCTTGATACTATTGTTCAGATTAGCAAAATTAAACTGGGAAAGCTTTATGCTGCTTCTATTATGTATGGATATTTCCTCAGAAGAGTCGATGAAAGGTATCAACTTGAGAGATCAATGAATACCCTTCCAGAAGGTTTCAATGAAGACTTGGCACGATTTGAAGAGCCCGTACCAGAAAAGCAGCAATGGGATCCAAATTCTTTGATACGGATCTATCCTGATGATGGTGATGGAGGAGGTCTAACAGATTCCACCAATGAGGGTAAATCATACCGACTGAGATCCTATGTAATGTATTTGGATGCAGAAACGCTTCAAAGATACGCGACCATAAGATCTAAAGAAGCAATATCTTTGATTGAAAAGCAAACGCAGGCATTGTTCGGCAGGCCTGATATTAGGGTCACAGGAGATGGCTCCCTCGATACGTCAAATGATGAAGTAGTTTCTGTTACTTTCGCTGGATTGACCATGCTGGTACTGGAAGCAGTTGCATTTGGTTCATTTTTATGGGATGCTGAAAGCTATGTTGAGTCCAAGTACCATTTTATTAACAGCTAGAGGTAATTTTCTTCGTCTTGTCCCGTCTGGATAAGTAGATAACATTTCATCTTTGTAAATTACCGTGCATGTCAAAAACCCGTCTAAGTACATTGAAAATTAATCATCATACCAACAATTTCAGATACACATTTTTATACTGGACAAAGTACATCGAATTTTTTTGACAAATTTCTTCCATAGTGTGAGCGAAAAGGGACTTGTAATAATAATGATGATAATAAAATGTTTCACATTGTATAATTACATACTATGAATTAAGACAGAAAAATGACCCGACCCGACCCGACCTTAACTCTTGTATTTTATTTTACTCTCTGTTTTTAAATATAAATTGTATTTAAAAAATTAATAAGCAAATTCAGAACACAGAAGAAATGAAGACGAATCAACTACCTACCTAACAAAATAATATACTCACTTCGTCCTACAAAGATAGTCTTGCTTTCAACTATTGATTGAAACAATGAAAAAAGAAAGCAAGTCTATCTTTATGGAATGGATGGATCATTGAGTGAATTTTTTAAGAATAGAATATCTTGTGTCATTAGACCAACTTCCATTAATGACAACTTCCATTTCTTTAAAATCTTATATGCAATCTTTCGACAAAGACTTGTGTTTCTCTAATTTTTTCTTTAACAAAATATCGGAAATCTCAAAGCTCTTGAAATATACTGAAAAGAAAGAATAATTAACTATTTCTACTTCCCAAGTTTCTGAATTACAATGAATGTATCTTTCCCTATGAAGATTTAAGGGAAAAAAACAGGTAAGAATAGGAAAATCAAGTCTACTCAAGTTACAAGGTAGCCAAGTATACAAGAAAGGGTACCCGTTGAGCTATGTCATGGAAACTGGAAGGATCCTCCGATTTGGTTATTGCCGGCCGGGGGGTTGATCGCAACCCAAAGGAGGGAAATGGTAATGGCAATAAGTCCAGACCAAACAAATACAATTGTTGGTGTCCTTCCTCGTCTTCCCATAAGTCCTTTTGCAAAGGGATATAGATGTGCCAACACCCAGAAGCTAAAGAATACCCCTCCGAGCAAACGGCTCCACTGTGGTATGGCACTGTATATTGTCCGGCTAAAACCAACTGCTATCGCGATCAAGTTAGTCATCATGATAGTAATTGGCGGTATCATCAAGTATGACCACTTTATGATGTAGAGATCGCCATATTCATCATCAATATCATCACCGGCAGACTTTGATGTCAAGGTAAATGAGATCTCTATCCCGGCAATCACCTTCAGTAGCCCCTGGAGTACAGCAGCAAGATGAGCACTCGTGCCTCCAATCAACCAGAATTGCTCGTTTCGCCACCACTCTTCCAACTCAATGCCCGACCATTTGATCTCGAGCACGGCCAACATGCAAAGGGTCAAAGTGATGACCAGGAGGTAGGTGAGGAAAGTCACGTTCAGAGTCTGGACAATAAATTGACCAGAAAAGAGTGACAGCGCAGGGAGGAAGCAGTAAACAATGAGAAACACGGAAGTGAAAGGATAGATACCCACATTAAGGTAGGCAACTCTCTGCAGAAGCTTCATCTTGGGACTAGCCAGTAACGCATTATTACGTGAGAAGAAGATCTCGACAGAACCAGTGGCCCATCGAAGGACCTGGTGAAGCCTGTCAGTTAGATTAATAGGTGCAGTGCCACGGAAAGCATCCCTTTTAGTGACACAGTATATAGATCTCCAACCACGATTGTGCATTCTATAACCAGTTACCACATCTTCTGTCACAGATCCGTAAATCCACCCAACCCGATTGCCCCACTCAGTTTTATCTTCATACCAACATGAGATGACGCTAATTGCTTCAGCAACAGTAGATGCGTCGAGGAGTTCCCTAGGTATGGTTAGAGCACCAGGAGGTCGTCCATTCTTCACCGCAGGGTGATCTGCTAGTGGTCTGCCTTGGAATTCTGCCACTGGAATGGAATCAATAAGGAAATTCGAGTTACCGAACCTTTTAGAATAGATAGAAGGATTCATTTCGTCATCATCAGAATCTCCCATTCTAAGTGCTCGATGCTCATCAGGTGCAGAAGAAATAGAAACACCTTTCTTAGGACGAGGAAAGCAACAGCTGCAGCAACCCGAGTGGTAATCTTTAGACCGCGGTGGATCAAAACCATAAAGGGCAGTCCGGCGAAAGAGGCACCCAGTGCCCACATAAACTGGTCCCTGAAGCCCATCTAGAGCCCGCATATTGACATCAAAGAAAACGGTATTGTGATTTGCATAGCGGTCAGATGGATCTATTCCCTCGAATCTCTGAGGAAACTGGACATAACAAATGCGGTCCCCACCTCGGTCCATCATAAAACACATCCCTTCTCTTATTGCCTCTGAGTTGTAAATGTAGTGATCACAATCGAGGTTAAGTATGAAAGGGCCATTGGACATGATAGCTGAGGCTCGAACCAGTGCATTCATTGCCCCAGCCTTCTTATTGTGATCATACCCAGTGCGTTTTTCACGAGAAACATAGACAAGCATAGGAAGCCGAATATCAACTTCAGTAAAATCAAGTGGACTATTGTCAACAATTGTTCCATGTAGAGGTTCATCACTCGGAGGTTTTAACATTACCTGCAGAGCAAAATTTCTAGTCAATTAACATGTAACAAGCCTTTCCACGAAAAATTTTTAGGTGGCCTTGATTAGAACTTGGAAAATGACGAACTGCAGATAATGGCACTAAAGGTTGTCCTAATCAAAGTGTTCTACGACGACTCCGTTCATATAATATTTTGATTCTAATTGTCTAACAAGCAAGCACAAAAATTGGCAACAGCGTAGATTATACTAAAAATATACAAATTAAGCTGAAACCAAAGACGGACACAGCACATGGTAGTTACATGAGACATTGATCAACCAGAGGAAAGTCCCAAGTACTTGAACACTGAATAAATGGTAGGAGAAAGCACTCCGGTCCTCCAAACACCAATTAATGATAGGACCAACAGGAGATAACCAGAAAGCATGAATCAATGGCAGAAGAAGGATTTACTCCTCTAAACACTAACTGAAGCAATAAGCATAGCTTAGTAAGAGACGAGGTCTAGATTCTCTATCATATGGACAAAAAAGATCCAGATTAAGTTATTAAGTTCAGAGCCAATGAATGTAGTTATTCATTTGAGAGCAATGGCCACCAGTGGACAACCCATTGTGCCGAAAGCAAGAGAAAACCCATGTCAGTTCTTTGTTTTAAGAATGTACCTGAATGATTCCTGCGTGGTCACCCCTAGAGTGCTCAGGAGCAGAAACAATCCAAGTGCCAGGCCAGTAAGTTCCATCTGCCATCCATGTGGCTTTACGGACTTTCACTGGTTCCATTGGTTCATCCCCAGCAGTCTCTCTGTGAAGCTTCATGGCCTTTATTTCTTCACGTGCATTATAGGCATCAGAACGACGACGAATTGAGTCAGGAAGCCCATTGATTCGAACCTTGAACTCGTCATATTCACGTTTAGCCCTTCTACGATCCCTGACAAAATCTGAGCGCACCTTATTCTTAAAGGGATCCTTTTTCAGGCCAAAGTAAGATTCTGGGTTTCTTGGTTCAATCTCATGTTTTCGACAGAATGGTACCCACAAATTTGCAAAACTTGCTGCTTCTGCCATCGCCTCAAATGTCAGAAGAGCACCTCCATCATCAGAAACATAACAAGCAAGCTTATCAACTGGGTAATCAGCAGCAAGAATAGAAAGAATAGTGTTTGCAGTAACAAGTGGAGGTTCTTTTTCAGGATCAGCTGTAGAAACAAATATATCTACTCCTGGAAGATCAGATTTCCCGGTTGGATTGGAGGGACTGGGTGTTTCAAATTTTTCTTTCAACACATTAAGGTCCGTTGCACGATTAACGGGGCACAACTTTGGAAGCTGGTCAAGCAGCCAAGAGAATGCAAACCAAATCTCACAGATGACTGACATCAACCATAGCCATCTTGCATCCTCATTGGGGTGGCCAATCCTCCAAGCAAGAAATAGTCCGAGAACGGCCATACGGATTAAGATTAAGAGTCTGAAAAGATACATATATATAAGACAAAATGTTTATCAGATTTTATTATCTTAATATATTATTTCACAGAATAATTTAAAACTTATTTAAGAAGATAGCTCAATCGTAGATTAGCAGTTGAGGGAAAATTAATATTGAAAGACTGAAAAATGTAACATTTGCTGAGAAAAATAAATGGACGCCAGCAGCTTTCATCAACCTTAAACAACAGCAACTATCATTATTTTACCCTTCTGAGTGCACCTACTTACGAACACATAGGGGTTATTCACTTAATTCAGCAAATAATAGAACATGAAAACAAAGCAGATGAAATGCTAGTTTCATGTACACAAAAGACAGCTTTTGAAACTGTATGTCCGACTTATGCCTCGTGGAAACTGCACACAAAATGATTAGCAACACATTACACACAACATGGCATCGGTATACATTCTCATGTCATACACAACAAAAGGTCAGTTCATTAATAATGCTACCAGGGTCAGCCCTTGGATTAGGAAGCATCGGCAAATGCCTAGGGTCCAATGAAATGTTAATAGACAAAGATTTACAAAATTTTTAGCAGATTTTGAAAAATATTAATGAAATGTATAGTTGAAAAGTTGATAAAAGTTGTGAGTCCAATGAAATGCATGGTTAAAATTGAAGTTTGACCAGTCGAAAAGTTAAGAAAGTTCTATCAAACAAGCTGTAAGTTCCAAAGATTAAGATTGTTGATAGGTTTTCTAGACATTAGCAAATAAGACACCTTCCTAATTCTACACTTTTTTTAAATCAATATTTTCCTTAAACCTAATTACTGCTCAAGGGAATTTACTCTAATTCACATGCTACATCCATGCAACCCAGATATACTGTAAAAAGCTAGAGAAACAAACAAAAACCAAATGCTTAAAGAGCATCTTGGTCATAATAGAGAGCATTTTTACATTTAAAAAGTAAAATAC